CATTCGCGATAAAGTCATCGCGTTTGCAGAGCTTTGTTGCCTTGTGAAATTTTGGCCATCACGTTCGGGTGGGAAGCATCACATTCACGAAGGACAGGGCAGTGTGAACGTCGCGTTAGCATAGGAGGCTTTGAGTTAGCAATTCATAGCTGGAGCTGGAGGCAGGTTGATCTTTTGTGATCGCGAGGGTACAACCGCGTGTGTAGGGTACTGCGGGGCAGTGCATTTAAGTTGCTAATTTCAGAACTTTGCCTATTATTTTATATTTTAAGTCCTAGACTTTAATAGAAAGTGAATTTGAAGTGCAATTTCGTTATTACATTGGAGGTAAGCAATTACCCATGGATTTCTACTTCTAAAACATGAAATTTTGAAAGACAATTTGCGATTTTATCTACACTTTAAGAGAGTGTATTTTGGGAATTTGAGCACCGATTTGGACTCAATTATGAAAACTAATTACATATTTGAGGTTATGGTTCATCAGAATTTAGTATTTATTTCGGATTTCGGGCACGTGGGCCCTGATTGACTTTTGTTGACTTTTGGGAATTTCTTCAAAGATCGAAAATTTATGGATTGGGATTGCTTCATATGGCATTGTTGACTTCCTTAGATGATGTTTGACAAGAATTTGCGCGATTGGAGGGCTCGATATAGATTTTGACACGATTCAAGAGTGAAGACTAGCCCGGAAGAGATAAATATCTTTCCTAACTTTGGTTTGAGGGTAATTTCCCCATTAGCTATGATATTAGTTAAATTTTGGGGATGACGTATATGCGAGGTGACGAACATATATGATTTCATATTTTGGTTATTTCCTATTCCACAACTCCAAACTTTCTCTAATGCATACAGTAACCTCGTTAACATATTTAAGGATATAACAACCTCATGTGGGTTTTACACATATCAAGATTTCCTAAATCACATTATTATGTACGTAATTAGACCGAAGTAAAATTTTAAAATTTATGGGGCTTTATACATCTACTCCATTCTCTGTTATACTTTAGAGTGCTCAACTATACTAGGGGCCTAAAGCCAAAGTTTAATGGAGGACTTAAACTTAAAAAGTAAATCTTTATTTATTTGAAGTCTATTTTTATGCTTTGTGAGATGCAAAGTTATTTTTTTGTTACAATCAATTTCTTTTAATTATTCTTTTTCAATTGATAATATAGCTAACTCGTTTAATATTTCTTGAGACATTGTTGCTCTTAGGTAAGTCTAAATTATTTAACACTTTTAATTCAAAAAATAAGTCTAAATCGTCAATATTGGAGTGACTATTATGTTTTAAGAAATATTGAAGAACATACACTTCAAATTGTTTAAATCTATTCTGAAGTGAACTTGGCTTGGTGTGTTACATATAATAAGCAACCATCTTAAAAGAAATCTTCAAGAGACTTTGCGATAATCAACATTCTCATCAAAAAAATTTTAATATAAATTACACCATTATTATCAAATCCAATTTCTATATTTCAATGGTGAAAAATATTTTTTTTGTTGAGCAATGTAACCAGTAATAAAAACCATCAAATCAATTAATGTTGTTCAACAACAATAGTTGAGGCATTGGCATAAGAAACACATGTATGAAAAATGAGAAAGGAACTTAATTTACTTATGATGGTGTTTGCACTCCCCATCTTACACTATTAATGATAAAATTCAGGTCTAAATATTCAATACATATCAAACTCCATAAAGCATGTTTATGTCTTTCTTAAATTTAACTTCTCAATATATAGGGGAAATAAAATTATAAGCCTATAACCTATTTTGCTAAAAATGGGGCCCCTTAAATTTGGGGGCCTAAGGAAATGGCCTTACTAGCTTCACTTTAGAGCCGGCCTTGGTTATACTTTGGCAAGCCTCCCTCCTTATATTGGTAGGCGCATGTCTAGAGGTTTTATTATTCGCGTATGTCCATAGATGTTCCAATGGTACTAATGAGAGATCTGTTCCTAACCCTTCCTCAGAAGTGTTACTTTGATCTGTTCCTAACCCTTCCTCTAACCAATGCAATCTTTCAATCTCCCAAGCGGCCTATTAAGTACCCCATTTCTCTCATTCTTCCTCACTTCTTGCCAAACTTCTCTACCATGGCTAAGAATACCCTCTCCTCCTCAACTGTCACAAGATGAAACAGACCGTTTCAAAAGACTCAAAACCCTAAAGAAACTGTCGACCTTAAATCATCTCTTGATTCAGACCCTCTCAAAAGTGATAATGAGAGTAGTGATTCGTCGGTGGATCGAGTATTAAGCCAGAAAAAAGCAGGCAAGAGACCCATGGATCAAACATCCAAAAGGCCTACATACAAAAAGGGAAAAGTGGAAAGCACTGATTTTGGGCCTGAGGATAAGTTGAACTTCTATGGTCTAACTAAGAAATCGAGGTTTGAATTCTATAAGTCAAAATCTATGGCTTATGGGTGCACTGTAAGTCTCTCTTGATATTCACTGTGATGTTGTTTCAATTTTTTTTTATTTTTAACGCCTTTCTCCTATATTTGATACTGTTGGAAATGTTGTGTGTGAAGAACCTGTGCGAATGTTCTATACAAATCTGTTTATGAATGACCAAGATGATTTGGAGTCAATGGTCCTAAGTACTCGTATTGTGCTTGATATGTATCAATTTGATAAAAAATTTTCTATAAAGTTTCATGGTTATGATGTGTTTGTTCAGAACTCTTGGCCAAAAGATTTCGAAGTGACCGTAGAAGAGTCAAAAGCTACCCTGTTTGAAATCCCCCCTGATATTAGTCCCAAAAGTCTTAAATTTGAATATCGTGTATTAGCTCACATGATTACAATCACCCTTCTCCCCAAGACTGGATCCTTCAGCACTTTAACCATTAGGGATATCTTTGTTATGTACTGTTTTTTGAATAACAAATGACTTGACTGGTTTGTATGGATTCGTCAGTATATGCTTGAAAATATTAGAGATGTATTATCCTCTGTTGCCTGTTTACCCTATGGTCTGCTTATCTCCCACGTTCTAGAAGTAATGAAGGTTAATTTTGCACATTTTTCTCCCAAATTCATCTCAAGTACCTATGATAAGACAACTTTTGCTATGATGGGATACAATCTAAGTGAAGAAGGATGGGTTAGACGTGCCATAATTTGAAGTACTCCAGTACAGGTTGAGCCAACTACTGAACCACCAGAGACTCAGTCGTCTGCCACCAACAACTTACAGCAAATTCAGCAAGGATTAGATGGAGTAAAGACCATGTTCATTGCCATGAAAGAGCAAATAAATAAGATCAGTGATGTCATTAAAGAAACAGGTACAGATGTGGCTAAACTCAGGATGGACGTGGGAGCTACAAAAAGACAAGGAATCAAGACATTCAACTCTATGACAGAGAAGATGGAGAAGGTCACCAAAGAAGTTGAAACCTTCTACAACTCTTTCTGCACCAAAGTAATTAATATCCTGAAATACTTTCTCGAGAGGAACTTAGGCCCACTATGTGTGTATGTGTCTAAAACAATTTTTGGTAATGTTTGTTTTGGTTTTGGTATGTAAGAACCATTATCATATGCCTCAGCTAAAGGCATAATATCTTCTACTTTATCTGACATGCTTATTATTTGCTACTTGCATGTTACTTGTCATATTACTTGCATGTCTCCCTGCACTTTCTTCTTTCTTTCTGATTGATGTCAAAGGTGGAGAAACATTAGAGTAATGCAGAGTAACAATTCAGTGGGAGCAACATCAGCATCAAAATTCAGGCATGCACACACTCAAGGGGAGCCTTCACTAAAAGGTAAGTGCCATCTGCTTTGTTTACTCGTTCTGATTGTCATCATAAAAAAAAAGGGAGATTGTTACACCTAAGTTTTAATGATGACAATAGTGCAAATCTAATATACCCTAATCAATTGCAGGAAATCAGGGAAGCAATGCTATAAAAAGGAAATAAGATCAAATGCAACTGCTGTGGGGAAATCAGTTAGTAAATTAAGGAGAGTCTTTGGAGAAAGAGACTAGAAGATTCTGGTGATGGATTAATCAAGTCGTGTCGCAAATCATTCCTATATATCAGGAATGCAAGAAGGAAAAAAGATAATTGGATTCAGCCTTCCTTGTAAGCTGAATTCAGAGGCAACCCTTGGATCAAATCTCTTAGAATATTCTTGCCTCAATCAATGGTCAATCTGCAACGGCTAGTTTAAAAGAATAATTAAAGACCGCAAGTCATTCCTATAAGAAGGCTGGAAGATAGAAGAAAGAATGCCGCAACTTAATACATGTTTCTGTATCTTTCTAATTCTTAGTGCAAACATTGTATTCTTGAGTTTACTAGTGTCACAAAAGATAGGAAGAGTTAGAAAACAAAACAAAAGTTGTGTCGAGCAAAGACAAACACTGTTGCTGAATATCGTTAGTGGTGAACGAACTAAAACCATAACTGTTGTAATGATTCAATATTGAAGATCTAAGAGAACCCTTGTCATCTAAGGGAACTGAATGTAGGTACCACACCGGTACTGAACCAATATAAAACTCTTGTGTCTTTACTGTTTTTGTTTCTACATAATTTACTTTTGCTCAATCGAACCTGGTGGAAATGATTAGTCGACTATTTCTATCTCTAGTCAACTATGTTTTAAAATTGGACACAATCCACCCGTGCTCTCGTGTTTCATTATGAATGTGAGTGCATGGAACCGACTGTCGGTTAAGCTCTCTTTTTGGAGAGCGATACTTGTATATGATATTGTAAAGAATTTTTACAATATCAATTTTAATTTGATGTAGCAGCTTGTCTTAACTTTTTAGTTTATCAATTAATCCCACTTCTTATGAACAATTACCTATAGGTATCTTTCCGGTGACATGATATAAACAATCTATTATGTTGTCATTGTATAGAAAAACTCATCGCAGAGAAAACTAGATGTCATAATTTGAATTTGAAACATTCCAATTAAATAACTAGAATTCATGTGAAAGATTACGAGTAAAAATAAAACTCACACCATTTTATTTGGTTGGAATAACGTCTTTCGACAAAAAACACAATGATAGATGAAAGCAACACTCGTACAAGAATGAAAGAAAACAAATACCTGAATGAAACAAAGCAAATACAACCATAGCAGAAGAGAAAACACGAAAATACAAGAATGAAACAAAGAAAATGGAGTGCAACCATAACAGAACAAAACACGCAAACAGTTCCACATGATGGAGAATTCGAAATGCAACAGACCCAGGAAGGTTGTTTCAAGCCGACAACGGGTCCCTTCAACGTCATGCTTTGATTCTCTCCTGGAGAAAGGAAGAAAATTAGTATTGGAAATAACAAGCAAGAAAATAAAGCAGAGGAGATGTTTCTCACAGATCTCTACGTGGTTTGGAGAAGAAACCACTAATTTATTCACAACACTCCATAAGGTATAGTAACAAAAAAGTCGATACAAGTTACAATAAAATAATATGGACTAAATCAAGGTCGAGCCATTTAATTTAGTAACTGATACTAAAAGAGCACATTATAATGGTGATGAAGCCGATACAACATGCTGTCAAATGCTATAACATGACTAACAACACCACGTAGTGTTACCAGAATAACTGAATTTTATAGATTGATAGATCAGAATAATCATAAAAGACACATCCACGCTCATATCACAAAAATGAAATCATATCGTATAGATGCAGATGTAGTCTCATAGCAATCTCTATACAGATAATAGATATATAACTGTTGAACATGAATATAATAGTGTAAAGACAAACAAATAGTTAAATACATAATAGAAGTTTAAAATCATCTCATGAAAAAATGAATTTGACTAACCTTGTCAACTTTACTGTGTGGCCTTGGAATCAGTACTTTCAGGAGGAAATATAGTGAGCTTGAATTTGCTGCTTTGTGGAGCTTGTTGTTTCTTGAGTTCGATTTCTTTTGCAGATTTGATTGCCTTGATTGTGCTCTCCAGCCTCATCTCTTGAAGGCTACGTATATCAGCCAACTCAATTGGTACAGCTTCAAGCTCAACGCAGGATTTAAGAACAAGATTCTTAAGATTTTGAAATTGAGCATTTGAAACCTTCCAAGATTTGAGGTCTGCCCTATCAATCCACAATACCTTGAGTAGGCTAAAACCTCCTATCTCAGACTCCCAGGACGTCCCTATAAATGCATTTTCTTTCAATTTTAGGACCTCAAGGCATTCCAATTGTGCCAATCTGTTCGCCTCACTCCATTCAAACTGTGTTTTTGACAAGGTTAATTTCTTCAGATTGCGAAGAAATCCAAAAAATGTTGGAGGAAGGTGTAGATCTTTGGTTAAAACATCATTCAACAGCTTCAAATGTTCCAGGCACTTTAGCTCTCCAAAATTGCTGAACCCGCCCTTGCTAGTTTCAAAAAAGCTTACCATTTGCCCTTGAATACATAATTTTCTGAGATTACAAGCCCTTGCAAGCACATCTTTTCTGCAACTTTCTGGTGCAACTTTAGAAAGAGTTTGTAGGCAAGAATGTTTACTTGTTGGAGTACTAGAAGGGGACGGCAATTTTGCAGGGACGTTGGTGTGCAGATGCCTCAACCGTAGCATGTTCCATATATCTGCTTTTATGTCAAGAATGCCCTCTGATGTACTTGTATTAAGTATAACTGTCTGTAAATTCCAAAACTTACCAAAGGACGGAGGAATGGACTTGAAGTCACCTGAGATAGCAATATACCTCAGATGAAATAGTGCATTAAAATCCTTTGAGAAACCAAATTTGATGCGTTCAACGTCCAAGACCCTAATAAGAGGAAATGCTTTGTGGAAGTTTCGGATGTTTCCAGTGGACAGCTCAATTGTTCCTTTTTGTTTTGAGGAAAAACATAAGAAAGATCTAACATGCTCTGTCATTGGTCTCGTGGAGATAAAATCATCCAGAATTGAGAGTTGAATACACAACCGGCGACAAGTATCTTGCTCTGGTATACCAAGACCAACCTGATCAGGTTTTTCGCCTACTTGTTGGAAAAGACCCTCATCAGTAGCTTTAACCTTGCAGAACATGTGCAACATGTCGTGAAGACGACATGTTTTTATTTTACCATCAGCTTTCTTTTCCAATATTATCAGCAAATTCCTATTGACAAGGTCATTCAGAATATACTCTGCTATATTCTCGAGGGTACTGCCAGGCAAGTTGGAGATAATCAATCCTTCGGAGATCCACAAGCGAATCAACTTCCAAGCCGGAATTTCAAAGCCTTGTGGAAAAGCGCTACAATACAAGAAGCATGCCTTCATATCTTCAGGCAAACGATTGTAACTCATTTCCACAAATTTCAAACAGTTGCTTGTAGGGTCGTTTTGATCTATAAGGTACTTGCCTACATTTTGCTCAACTATTTGCCATTCACCTTCACTCGTACGACCTCTTAAAGCTCCTGCAATCACCACTACTGCGAGTGGTACTCCACTACATTTTTCTGCAATGCTTTTTCCATGTGTTACTAAGTCTGGAGGACAACTTCTATTGCCAAAAACTCTCTTTTCTAACAACTCAAAACTTTCATGATGTTCTAGAAATTTCAGATTGTGAGGATTGTCATTGGCATATTTCGCCACACGTCCTTCACGAGTGGTCATCATGATTCGGTGGCCTTTCTTGTTTTTTGGGAAAGCTTTCATGACAGAATCTACAACTTCTGGGTTCCATACATCGTCCAAGACAATGAGACATTTACCTCCTTTGGACACAAAATCACATATTATCTTGGATAATTCATTCTCATTCTTATCTTGATATATGTTCATCTGTTTCGTATACGATTTCAAAATACTAAGAAGTACCTCCTTTAGTTTGTAATTCTGGCCAACATAAACCCAAATGTTACTGAAGAAGTCATAAGAAATCTTAGAATCATTATAGATTTTTATTGCGAGAGTGCTTTTTCCAAGTCCAGCCATACCCACAACAGGGATGACTTCTAACTCATCTGATCCTTCCACGAGTCGCTTGATCACTGTTTCTGCTTCCTTGTCGAAACCGACCACTTCAGCATCCTCCAAGTGTGGAACCTTTAGGATGATCAAACGGATTGGATATCAAAAAGCAGAACTACAGAATTCTCATATTCTCTAAGTAAAAAAATAATCACGCTTGTTGCTGAATTTTTTTCCAAAGCGCGCGGAAAGATTTTTAAAACGTGCTTGTTTAGTTTTTTCAAGAATTTGCAGATTTTTTTTTAAAAAAGGAATTGCTCTCTGAAGAAATGGCGCTTTAGGGTAATATTTAAAAATAATTCCTTTTTTCTCTATGACGAAATAATCACCAATTTTCAAAAAAACTATAAGTATCCTTTTCTTTTAGCAGAAACTTCTTTTTTTTTTAATGCTACTGTGAAATAAAATATTTTATGGAAAATGTTAAAATTCCTAAATCTAAAATATTTTACTTGCGAAAAATATTTTCCTAGGAAAATCTGTAGGTAACTTTGGCGCCATTATGCGCCAAAATATTACCTGGAGAAATAGATCTGCAAGTACATTTCCGTAAGAAAATTCATAGGTAAACAAACAAAGAAAATGGAGGAAAATCATATGTTAATATGAAGGAAAATCCCTAGGTAACTCTACATGCGAATTTAGCTAGGGATATGTTCTTGGGGATTTGCCTGGGCATTTGGTTATTTGGGAAATTATCTGGGGATATTATTGCTGCGGATTTAGCTGCGGAGTTTTTCTTAGGGATTTACCTGGGGATTCTCTTAGCTGGGAAATTACATGGGGATGTTATTACTGCGGTTTTAGTTAGGAATAATTACTTGGGGATTTACCTGGAAATGTTTTTACTTGCGGAATTATCTAGAGATTTGGTTGATGTGAATTTAGTTTTTTTTCTTGGGATTTACTTATTTGGGAGAATTACATGGAGATTTTATTATTGTAATTTATTCTAGAAATTTATTGATATAACTCGGGATTTACCTAGAAAGTTTATTACTTAAAAATAACTAGAGATCATTTGTGTAGCTTTAGACGAAGATTGTTTCTTGAGAATGTACTTGAATATTTCATGATACGATTTTTATTGGGGAGTTGTTCTTAGGATCTAGGTAGAAATTTTATTGTTGTTATTTTAATTGGATATATAATACTTGAGAATTTACCTGTGAATTTTATAACTACATATTTAACTTTGAAATTCTTTCAATACTTTTTAAAATATTATTTGAAATTTTAAGATGTTATTTTTTAATTTATGAATTATATTTTTTTGAATGTTACGAAAATTTGATATGTAAAAAATATCCATAGGAATTGATTTTATCTATTATATTTTGTCAATTTATGTGTAGGTAAATGTAAAAATGCTAATCCTATGTAAACTTAATGATGTATATATGTTTGACTTGGGCATATAAGCTATTAAGCATAACATAGTCTGTTATAATAAAAAATTAATTATCACAGAGCTAATTATTCTAAGAATTTAAAATTTAATATGGTTAATATAAAGGACATAATTGATAAAGCTTAGATACGATTACATTTAACATATTTAAGATAATATCATCAGAAAATATACTAAATGTAACTAAATGATTGAAAAGTATTTAAGTTTAATTTCTAAGCAGAGAAAAAATATGTTATATTTATAAAAATGTAACTTTTTTATTAACTTTCTATCTTATGTATGTCATTTTTTCTCATGTATTTAAATAGATAAAATTCAATTATAGTATGTCTAAAATGATATAGTTTGAGATTGTCATGATCTTATAATTCTACTTTCTAACATCATTTCTCAATTAAATCCAACCATTATTAAAATAACTTAATCATGTATACTTTATTACGATTAGCGAAATAATTCATTCTAATTATCATGTACAATATATTTAATTCTTGTTAATTAAAGTATTTTTTCTATAGAAAAAGAAATTAATATGCTATTAGATAAATATAAATGAAAATTTGAAAATAACTAAGAATATCTTAAAATTAAAAGCAATACAAATGTAATTTGCTATTATGTGGAAAAGAGTGTTTTATTTGATTTATGAAGATCTTTAATTAATGCATCCTTTTACAAAATAAAAATAAATAAATAAATAAATAAGTAGTAAGCGCTATTAAATAAAGTAAATAGTACTATACAGGGAAGTAACAGTTGGGACATTCCAGTCCCACATCCGCCAGAACTTGTAAATTTTTGTACTTTATAATGAGTATATTGGAAGGCAATACCAGTAATGGACTTTGCTAGCTGTGAGTTCTTGTGTTGTGGTCCAATGTAAAAATATCTAACAATTGAGAAATTAGAAAGATGCGAATAATACGGGGGGCAGGTTACATATACCTACTAAACATTAGTTCTGAGTATAAATAATATAGTTGGTGCAGTGGGGTGGGTTTACACGCATAATAATATTAGTAAAGAGTAAAAATAATATAGTTGGTGCAATAGTGAAGAGTTGATTTAATAAAAGTATATAAAAATAGTACGATAGTAATTTTCATTTTTAGATTACTATTTTGCTATCAAACTCCGCAAGAAAACTCCAACGTTTCATTAAATTTTTACCAAATATTTCATGCGAATATTTGAAATTTCCTATGGAAAATTTCACAAGTAATCTACATGTGAATTTAAAATCCCAGGTAATTTACATGCGGACTCAAAATCCCCAAGAGATTTACTTGGGGATTTTTAAAATTCGCAGGTAATAATTACCTACGAAGGTTTTTCCATCAAAATATTTTCGGAAGAAAATTCCGCAAGAATGCGAATTTTCTTGTATAATCCCTAGCAAAATTCCCATGTAATAAGTGATTTTCTTGTAGTGAAACTAATTTTGCCACTTCAATTGAACAAAATTAGTTTGTCACTTTAAAATCAAGAAGTCATTAAATTTGGTCGGAAAGCCAAGTAGGCAACACCCAACAACAACAAACCCAGTATATTATCATAAGTGAGATCTAAGGAAGGTAATATGTACGCATACCTTACCCTTACCTAATGATACTAAACCTATTGGTATGAAAAGGAGAAACTTACAATTACCTACTTATAATCTTCTACCCTTATCCTCAACTTGCACACTTTCCTATCAAGAAGAAGAAGAAAGAAAGGTACATGAGTGATACTAAATCTACTGGTATGAAAAGGAGAAACTTACAATTACCTACTTATAATCTTTTACCCTTATCCTCGACCTGCACCCCTTCGTATCAAGGGTCATGTCCTCAGTAAGCTGAAACAGTGCAATGTTCTACCTAATCAGCTCTCCCCGGTACTTCTTTGACCTACCTCGACCTCTTCTCAAATCCGCCATGGCCAAACTCTCACACCTCCTAACAGGAGCATCAATGCTTCGCCTCTTAACGTGCCCAAACCATCTTATCCTCGATTCCCGTATTTTATCCTCCACGGAGGGCACTATCACTTTGTCCCAAATAACTTTATTTATAATTTTATTTCTCCTGGTATACCCACTCATCCATCTCAACATTCTTATTTCTTCTAGTGCTTTCATTTTTTGCACATGGGAGTTCTTGACTGGCCAAAACTCAGCCGCATATAACATGGTTGGTCTAATCACTATTCTATAAAATTTACCCTTAAGTATTAGCGACACATTCTTATTACATAGAACACCGGATGTGTGCATCCATTTTCATCCATTCCGCTCTAATACGATATGCGGCATGCTCGTCAATCTCCCTGTTACCCTGATTATAGACCCGAGATACTTGAAACTGCCTCTCTTGGAGATAACTTGAGTATCAAACTTCACATCCACGTTCGCTTTATGAGTCTCGTCACTGAATTTGCATTTCAAATATTCTCTTTTGATCATGCGCAACTTGAAACCTTTAGACTCTTAGGTCTGTTTCCAAATCTTCAATCTTGCGTTAACTCCGCCTCGTGTCTCGTCGATCAACACTATGTCAATGCAAAATAACATGCACCATGGCACATTCCCTTGGATGTGCCACGTTAGCACGTTCATCGCCAAGGCAAATAAAAAGGATTGAGAGCCGACCCCTGCTGCAACCTCAACATAACCGAAAAATATTTTGTGTTACTTCCTACAGTCCTCACCTGAGTCATAGCACCATCATACATATCTTTAATCACCCTAATGTATGCTATTGGAATGCCACTGACCTCCAAACACCTCTTCCAAACTTTGTCGGGACTTTATCATACGCTTTTTAAAAGTCAATAAACACTATATACAAGTCATTTTTCCTATCTCTATACTACTCCACTAATCTCATCACCAAGTGACAAGTAGGCAACACCCATATCAGCTAAAATGCCAAGGTGACTTTTCACGTCAACAAACAAAGCCAACAATTTCTGCACTTAACTTAGTATCTTTAGATTATAAAATATTTAAAAAATATATTTGGTTTTTGCAAAACCATCTCAATCGGAAGCTCTTTCTCGAAAACCAAAAAACAAAACTTGCAAAGTTGTTTTTGTAAAAACTTAGGTGGCCGTTTTCACACAAATATATCCATATGAGAGAAGCAATTTGCTGAAAATTATCATAACAAACCACTTGTCCTAAAAAATCTGTTTTCTTTTTCTTTGCCAAATAATAGATGTCCTTCGTGATATCAGTGCAAAAATGCTCCCCGAAGAAGGAGGTCTACATACAACAATTTATTTTCCCTAACATCTCGGAAGTTAAAGAACTATGCTTGGTTGATTTTAAGTCACCAGCTTAATCGATTTTTCTGGTTGTCTATTCCATTGATTACAATCAATGGCAGTACTATTCGAACTGAGCTTTGCTTTCTCCCCCTCTTTCTCCCTGTTTCTTCTTTCTCCCCCTCTGTTTTTCTTTGCTTTTCCCCTGCCCCAGTCCCCGTCGACGTTCCCCAGCCGGCGACCCCTCTCATCTCTCCTCCTCCTTCTCTCTTCTCTTTCTGCTCTCTTCCCCTCCCCCTCTTTGTTTTCCCTGCTGCTGGAAACCCTAACAGGCAGCCTCTGCCGACAACAGCCCCGGCCGGCGACCCCTAGTGCCCCTATCTTTCTTTTTTTTTCTTCTTGTCTTCTTCTGTCTGAGTCGCTCCCCCTCCCCCACCCCTTTTACCCTTATTTGTATTTGATTCTTCATTTCTTCGACCCTCCTCGCTGCAATTGCCGGCGATCTGCCCGTTGTTTAGTTGGGCATCCCAGGCTGCTGTAGAATTAAACACCAGTGTAGCGGTGACGGGTTGACAGCTACCCCTATTGGTTTCGCGGTTGGTGTGTTGTGATTTTTCAAGTTGTTAGCAGCGACAGTTGGCGACGAGCGTGAGGTGTATGAGCGAGCAGCTTGGAGTGGTTCTTTGGAGATGCCTGGAGGCTAAAGGTGTGCCGGTTGCCTATAGTAGGAGGCGACTCGGAGCATTCTTCGGTTGTTATGGGGTTACACCAAGGATCTGCGCTCAGCCCGTTCTTATTTGCCTTTGTTATGGACGCACGGACATGCCAAATTCAAGAGGAGGTGCCATGGTGTATGTTATTCGCTGATGACATAGCTTTGATCGATGAGACGCGAGGCGATGTTAATGAGAGATTGGAGGTTTGGAGACATACCCTTAAGTCTAAGGGTTTCAAGTTGAGCAGGACTAAGATGGAATACCTGGAGTGCAAGTTCGGCGTGGAGCCGAGGGATGCAGGTAGGGAAGTGAGGTTTGAATCACAGGTCATCCCCAAGAGAGGTAGTTTCAAGTACCTTGAGTCGATTATCTAGGGGATGTGTAGATAGACGAGGATGTCACATACCGTATTAGGGTGTGGTGAGATTAGCATTTGTAGTACTGTGTGACAAGAAAGTACCTCTGTTACTCAAAGGTAAGTTTTATAGAGCGGTGATTAGATCGACCATGTTGTATGGGGTTGAGTGTTGGCCAGTTAAGCACTCACATATCCAAAAGACGAAAGTAGTAAAAATGAGAATGTTGAGGTGGATATGCGGACAAACTAGGATGTATAAGATTAGTAATGGCGATATTTGGGAGAAGGTGGGCATGGCTTCTATGGATGCCAAGATGGAGGAAGTAAGATTCAGATGGTTCGGACACGTACGGAGGAGAAGCCCAGATATCCCGGTAAGGAGGTGCGAGCGGTTGGTTTTGGCGAGTACAAGAAGAGGTAGATGGAAGCCTAAGAAGTATTGGGGAGAGGTGATCAGACAGGACATGGCGTGACTTCAGATTTTCGAGAACATGACCCTTGATAGGATGGTGTAGAAGTCGAGCATTAAGGTTGTAAGTTAGGAGATAGTAGAATATTTTTCTACTTTGTAGAGGTGTGAGGCTAGTCTGAAAGGGTTTTATCTTAGACTGCTAGTGGTTAATGTTGTGTTCACACTATTCTCCCATTTTCATTGTGTCGGGCCTTATCTTTTGGTTGTTGTTAGTGCTTTTCATCTATTCTTTGGTTCTTATGTTGCTATCATTATTTTTATTGTTTTCTATTGATAGTACTGATATATTGTCTCTCTTTTCGTTCTTTTGAGCCGAGGGTCTACTGAAAACAACCTTTCTACTCATTGGGGTAGAGATAAGGTCTGCGTACACTCTACCATCCCCATACCCCACTTGTAGGATTTTATTGGGTTGTTGTTGTCGTACATTATTTATATAATAAAATGTTGCCAATCACTTTTAGTCATGTTTATTTTATAGTCTCTATTTATTTTAAGTGGGTGAATATTTAGCTCTACTTCCTGCCATTAAAAGCTACCTTGGCATAATACTGAGTTTGCATGTTTACTTAGGTTTCTAGTCAGCTATAATGAGTTTTCCGTCAAATCTATTTTTGAGTAATCAACTATAAGTTCAATGATTTTAAAGTGTCAAAAATTAGTTTCGTGACTTTTGTTAAAAAAAATCGTAACTTGTATGATTTTAAAGTGACAAAACTAATCTAGTAATTTTTTGTTAAAGAATCATAAGTTGTATGATTATTTAAGAATTTAAGTCTCTGACAAACAAAGGGACAACTGCTTTTAATCAAGAAGTTCAACCTTCTGAATTCGACAATTGAAAGTTCCTTTTGGATTCTTTTTCCTTATATAATTAGATATAAGACCTATACTAAACAACACGCTGTTAATTTGACTAAAAAAATAATCCATTTTGCTGTTGACTTTGTGTAGCAAATTGTTTGATTACGACGAACCAATTCCCAGAATTACACTAAATGAAGAGCTGTAAAATAGTTCAACAATCATGTAAAACTACCACGGAGATCAAAATTGAGAAATAGCAGTCCCAAATGAACCAAAGAATAAGTTATACACATTGGCCAAGAGAGTGTAAATAATTTTCAAGGAAATATTTCCAGAAATGAAGTCATTTCCCAATGTTGTTATCGGAAGAAAATGATTTTCCTCCCTTGGTACAAAATATTCTTTTTTGCCCGTTCAAATATCCCAACTCTTACTCCAAATTACTTGCATCAAAGAACACTCAAAGCCTCAGACACTATTATCATTCTTTAACACCAAAAACCTTATATGTAAGCACTATCAAACTGTTATCAAACTTTATCAAAAAAATATTTTCATTCCGCGAGCGAAAAGCACGGATCCATAAGATTTTCCAGAAAATATCATTTTGCGAGGAAAAACTTTTCCTTCACATTATCACACAGTAAATATTTTTGAAAGAAAAAAGCAGCAAATGTCTGTGGATATCAAATTATTGCATAAGAAACTGAAAGCTCATCAATAGTTTATATTCCTCAATTGATAACATTCTTTCTTCTTTTATACGCGGTCTCCCAATATTGGTCAACTGTGCTACAAATCATTTTCTCATTTGAACCTTAGATTCTTTAATTACTGTACGCATTCAAACAATAAATGCTCTTATTATTATTATTATTATTATTATTACATTATTGTTTTTGGAGTAGACATGTTACTATCTCCGTTTCAATTTATATGTTACATTTACTTTTTGAAAATAATTTAACTTAAAATTTTTTATTTTATTCTTGTTTAAAAGTTTTTATAAACAAACAAATATTATAGCTCCTGAAGACCAAACTTTTAACCTTTTAAGTTTTGAAGACCGGAGTTTCAAAAGGCTTTTTTTTTCCTCCTTAAACACGGTGTGAGTCAAGCTATGCCAGTAATTTGAAACGGATGTAGTAGATGATACTTTGCTTTTGAAATATATTATCATGAAAAGAGAGAAAAGCTTATATTTACAAGATAAGTTTTCAAAATAGCTAGGTTTCTGGCGTACCTGTGTCTCCTGGCCCTGTGTACTTGTTTCCCCCTGACGAGCAGACACTGGCGTCGGCTGAAAAGCCTGTTTATTGTCTTCGCGTAGTTTCTTGACCTTTTGAAGGACGATACCGACCTGCTCTCCGAGCTCTTTTACTGCACCGGCATAGTTATAATCAAAACCTCTCTTAACTATATTTTTATCTGCGTGCAGCTTCGCCTGAACCAAGAACTTATCAATGATATCCTCAGCTTTGTATACTGTAATTCGAATATCCTTGATAAACTGTTTCCAAAGCTTGTTATCGCTTTGAGTTTTTGCAGCTTCGTCTAGGAAGGCATTTAAGGTCTTAACCTCTTCGACCAGAAGTTCAAGCTCTCCCTTTGCACCAGCAATCAGCTTCACATTTTCGCTTATTATCTGCAACAGGTTCTCCACCAAAAAACTCAGTACTGCATCTGCCATCTTACTTTATTTTGGATAAGCAAGAATGGTAAATGGAGCGGATAGTTTCTACAGCCCCTTAGCGATTAGATCTTCGCTTTGCTAAAGCTGTATTTTAGGAATTTAAAGGGAGAGGGAATATAGTTGCTGATCTATAGCTGTATATGTCTATTGAATGGAGGACATAAGTGGGGACATCCAATTTTTCAAGTTGACTCGAACTGAGTTATTTAACCCCAAGTCCTTCTATTTCCTAATTTTTAAGACAGCGCGTGCCAGCAATTAAATACTCTATTGAATGCAGCCCATAGTGTGGGGATATGTATTATTAACCATAAGTTTGATTTGGATATAATATTTATTATGTAATAATTATTTATTCATTTTAATTAAGTTTTAAATAGATTATATATTAGTATGTGTCATTTGCTTATATAGTAGATGATTTAATGTATAGAAGATTAAATCATGGTTTTTATAAGTATAAAATTTGTGTTTACAATCTAAAGATGACATTAGACAAACCATCACGAATGATTGTAACACAAGATATAATATAATTTATCTTGATTATGAGAATAATTTAATTTCAATTTCTTGTGCTAGTACAATTTGTATGTATTGAACGGACTAAGTAGAGATAAACATTTTATACTGGCATAATAAAATAAATACTCTAGCCATTAAATGTACTTATACTCTTAATCTTGATATAATTATTATTAGTTATGTATATTATTATTGTTTTAATTTATTAAAAGGCGAGATTCTTTCGTGGGTCAATATGCCTGGTAAATTGGATAATAATATTGTACATTGGCGAAATAATAGTTAGTTGATAAAATCCATGTCTCGGTTTAGAGATTGATGATACACCTTTATGAAAGCTCATAAGTTTTCATGTGTAAACTCGACCGGTTTGTATGTGACACATGAAATAAGTTAAGCGAAAGTCTAAAGGAAATAATCAATAAATTAAATTGTAAGTAATTTAATTTAATTGATTAGTATATGAATCGTAACATAGAAAGTTAAATAAGATTTAATCGATGAATTTCGAAATTGAATAAAGAGTGCAACTATGAATTTTTAGTGGAATAATTCTTAATTAATTATGGTAGATATTAATTTCAAAAATTAAAAATTAATTCTATAATTAAAAACCTTGTTAACTAAATTTTGTGGTCCATGTTGTGCCTAAATAATAGGAAATAAAGGAATTCTTTTCCTGGCGGAAAAGAAAACCCAACAGGTTTTGAAAAAGGGTTTTAACCCTTAAAACTTATGCTATAAATACATAAGGTTTTCCAACTAGAGGGAGTAATAGATGGTGGCCGGAAATTTTAGCCAAGTTTTTCTAGAAATTTCGCCCACACGAAATTACTATTTTCGAATATTATTTGGGTAATACAATTTAAGACCGTGGAACGTTCGGGAATCGTGACCGTACTGATGGTGGAGATTTCATTGAGTTGTTGTGAAATTGAAAGCTCATGTGATAGAGGAGCTTTGTTCACGCTTCAAGAGGTAACCCGTGAAACCCCAAATATATTAGTTGTCTAGATTATATGTTATTTTGATACTGGATTACTTTCGCAGCTTATAATAATTCATCAATTGGTATGTCACGACCCAATTCCCACAAATGGCCGTGATGGCATCCAACGTCATAGTTAGGCAAGTAAACGGTGAACTAACCATTTATCTATTCATTCTGTTATTATTAAAATCAAGGCTTTTATTAAATAAGAAATTAATGCTTAGATAAACCGTGAATATATACATAATATTAGTAAAACATAAACTAAGAAGGTTACAATATGGTCCATAAACATCTACGAGAAATTCCAAAATTCGGTGTCACAAGTGCATGAGCATCTACTAGGAAGTACAATAATAATACAACATCTGTCTGGAATGTAAGATAGACAAGATAAAGTAAATAAATATGATTGAGACTGTGTGTGTTGCAGATTGTAACATAGAATATAGCTCACCATAAAGTCCACCCGGCATCTGTGCCTATGTGCCCAAATGACCACAAAAATACATGCACAATTAGTGCAGAAGTGTAGCATGAGTATGTAAATCAACGCGTATCTAGTAAGTATCTAGCCTAACCCCGGAGACGTAGTAACGAGGGGTCGATATCGATACTTACTAGTGGTCTAATAAATAAATATAATAGATTATAAACAGATATGAAATACAACAACAATAATGAGGTAAGATCTGTAACTAACATAATCCTCCAACCTGATGACAACATAAATTTCTCAAATCTCATATACTATCTCAACAAATAGAAGAATCAAAGGCTACCTCAAACGGGTAAGGAATATAAAGCGCTATCTCCAACAAATAAGGCATATCATGTAACAACCAGATCTCAATCAAAGGGCAATCTCATGAATATTCGGACTCCTAACTGTATTACGTACGAGTTATGCCGATGTCGTATGGCCCGATCCAAAATAATGTGTACACGGTCGAGGGTCGACCGGCGCAAACCATAGATGCACCTCAAATATATTGTCGAGGCGTTCAACCCGATCTACATAAAGAGGAGAAACTTATCGAATTATGAGTAACATGTTTTCAATCCAAGAGAAGGAACATAAAGTAAGCATAATTGTTACCAGCAATCGGATATCCCGCCAAACAACTCAAGGTATCGAGATTCGACCTAACATGATCTCTAATCAAATTACATTTATAAGTTTAGGTAATTAGACTAACAAGTTGAGTTCAGGTAATACAAATATCGCATGATATAGTCTTAAGTCTACCCAGACATAAGCATGATATTAGCTACGTACAGATTCTCGTCACCTCGTGTGTACGTAGCCCCCACAACGAGTAACACATAACAAATACATCACTTATGGGGTAATTCCCCCCTCACAAGGTTAGACAGGAGACTTACCTCGTTCCAAAATTCGATGACCGGCTCCAACGCCTCTCTAACAGCTCAAACCCATGCCATCGATCCGAAACTATCCAAACAACGTGCAATCCAATCAAAATATACTCCAATACTCGTAATTTAATAATTTATAACAATTTCCAACTCTGCTCTAAAAGTCAACAAAGTCAACCTCTAAGTCCACATGCCACGATTCCAAAAGATTTCGAAGATAATCATTACCCATAATGCCACGAACTAAAATATATAATTTATTCTTAATTCCATATCCAATTTCGTGGTCAAAATCCAAAATATCAAATTCTAGGTTTTCTTCCAAAATCCCACAATTTCCACAAAATTCCATATTTAAATCCATACATAATCCATGTATTTAACTTACAATAAGTGGGAATCACTTACCTTATGATAGATGATGAAAATGACAGCTCCAAAATCGCCCCAAACTTATCTCCAATGAGAAAAATAAGATGAGATGAACCAAAATCCGATTTGAAGAAGTGTTCTGCCCAGCAATCCTTCTTCTCGATCGCGGAAAACACCTTGTGATCGCGAAGGCCAACCAACCTTGCACAGGAAATCACACTACGCGAACGTGAGGGAACCCTCGTGATCGTGAAGCTTAGCCTGCCCAACCATTCGCGAACGTGAGGCCAACTACGTGAACGCGAAGCTCAAATCCTTCAGCTTCTGAAAATCCCTTATGCGATCGCGGCCAAGCCATGCGATCGCAATGAACCACTATCCATACCCAGGCCAGCCTCTCTTACTCAATGCGTTCGCGACCATCACCATGTGAATGCGAAGCACAACCTGATCGAGCTTTGTGAACATGACACCATCTTCGCGATCATGAAGAACAAAGTCCCTACCAGTCCACTTAACTTTTCGCGATCGCGACCCTTCTCCTGCGATCACGATGCACACCAAATACACCAAAAACCAACAGTTGCAACACATAGAGAAATGACCCGAAACCATCCCGAAACACACCCGAGGCCCCCGTCCAATCACACCAATAAGTCCCAATACCTTATCCAAACTTATTCAAAGGCTCGTAACGCCACGAATAACATCAAAACCATGAATTGACGATCAAAATACCTTTTTTAACTTTCTAACATTCAAACTTCGCAGAATGCATCCGAATCACACTTATATAATCTGGAACGATGCCAAATTTTATGTACAAGTCATAAATCACAATACGAACCCATTCCAAAGCTCGGAATTCTAAACAGACATCAATTACACCGAAGTCTACTTCATATCAAACTTAGGAAACTCTAAAATATTCAAAACGCCAACTTTCCACAATAAGTGTCGAAATGCTTCCGGACCATCTGATACTCAACCCGAACATACGCCCAAGTCCAAAATCATCATACGAACCTATTAGATCCTTCAAATACCGATTCCGTGATCGTTTACTCAAAAGTCAAATCTTGGTCAACTCTTTCAACTTAAAGCTTCCAAATTGAGAATTTTTCTTCCAAATCAACTCCAAACTTCCTGAAATACAAATATGACTGCACGCACAAGTCATAATACATAAAGTGAAGTTACTCAAAGCCTCAAACCGTCGGTCGGGTCGTTACATTCTCTCATACTTAAACATACGTTTGTCCTCGAACGTGCCAAAAACACCTCCGAAGTTGCCCAAAATCACTATTTAACACCTCGTGTACCTACCTGCGCCACCACAACCCACATGAGCATACTAGCTCAAGACAGACTGAAGATACTTTCTGATACCTTAGCCTACAAGCCTTAGAACCAAATTCCAACATCCAAAATTCTCTAGCAGGTCTGTTTCTTACATACAAACACCGTATCAATCCCAACACGTTAAACCAAAACATGACCATGCACCCATGTTGTAGTCACATAATGCACCACATAATTCGTATGCCCGCAATAACATTCTCCAACCACAATAGCTGTAAATTAACGAACCTGATGCCCGTATTATACCTCATAACACATATAAATCTGTTTCCAACCCTCGAAATACTGCAATGATGAAAGAGATGTGTAGAAACTCATAAGCACTCGTCAAATCAATAATTCATGGAATCTCTTTGCTTGACAAGAACCATTGCCTTACTCTGAACTGACTAGTGATATTTTTTCTCTAATATACATTATATAAATCCGATTGCACTTATTTCAGGTCCAATAACCTCATCTCACCCAGTACAAGTTGCTTGGGCAATAAGCCTTCTCAAACACCGTCTGAAACCTCATACAATG